GGACCTGGGGAGCACCCAAGCATCAGTCCCGGGGGCCCATGACTAAATCCTAGCCTTAATCATTAACGTGCAATGATGGGCAGGAAAGTGAGTATGTAAAAACGGCATTTTCTTACTCAACAGACAAGCACCCTGGCTTTATTCAGAGTCACATCTTCTGACACCATGAGTGACTGCTCCAATCAGTTACACTGGTGCAGAATTTGGCCCTGAGTTTGCAGTTGTTTGAGGCATGTTCTACTACTTTTGACACCTGGTAGCCCTGCACAGCCAACAAGGCTCCAAGGTCCTGATTCAGCAATGCACTTAAGTACATGCTGAAATCCCACTGACTTCAGTGGCACTTCAGTCTGTGCTCAAGTGCTTTCCTAAATAGGGATGGACTTCATCATGTTCCTAAGTGGCTTGCTGAATCAAGACCTGAAAGCCAGATTTGGATCCCATTTTGGCTTGAGAGAATTGTTAAGCAAGTTCCTATACAGGGTCAACTCTGCCCTCAGTAGCGCTGGCTGAAGATTTTCGGATGGAACAGGCTGGTGGGCTGCCTGGGAGTCCTGGATCCTCAGATGCCAGGCTGCCTGCCTGGCAGGTGCGTGAGCTGACTGATCTACCTGGGAAGTTCGGCAGTCGGATCCCCACCTGGCTGACTCCCTGAGCTACCCAGGGGATAGAGGACTGGGCAACCGGTTCTATTGTACCAGTAACCTTTAAAAACTTTAAGCTTGCATTTCTCTCAGCGATAAAGTATGGCATTCTCAAATATAGCAAGGTATCCAATGTGCATATTGCGGCTACAGTCTCTGTTCAGCCTTACCTGCTAATCAATAATAAATAAAATATGAATGTTATTCAAAAGACACGGTATTCTTACTCTGTCTTGGTGAGTTACTGTTCTATAGAGCTACATTTCCATCCCACTCAATTATAATCTTATTTGATTTTACAGTACCTAATAATGCTTTCCAGCCCTGCTAAGGCTACTTTCTATCTTTCTGAATTAAATTACGGCTATAACATCATAACTCTACTTATGCAAAGTTTGTTGTGGATATTATTATATTCAAAGGTAAATTTCTTTAGGGACCCAGAGTTCTATGAATATAAATGAAGTGTTTATTGTACAATCTTATTAATAAATAATGCTTTTATTTATTGTAATTGTTTAAATGGCGTCTACTGAAATTTCTGGCCTTGTGATGTGATCAGCTTGGAATGATTTTCCTTCTCTGGAAATATTTGAATACAAACAAAGTCTGGTGATGTGTTCAATTACAGTAATGTAGGGAACTAAAGGGATTATGCCTACTAGGAGTACATTAATGTAGTTTTTCAGTTCATTTTTTCCCACTGAACAGGAAATAAACTAAAAAGAGACAAAAAGCCCTGAAGTGAGACCTTTATTATTGGAATGGTTTGTTACATGATAATCAAAAATAGCTCATCTTGTTTTATTTCTACAAATCCAGGATTGATGGCGCTGAAAATAAAAATACACTTGTCAATCTCATTGGAACTTCTCACTTTGCAGACTGACTGAGATGTCGTGTGAAGATTAGAGACACTAAGTATTTTGTGTGAAAGAGAGCATGCCACAGTTGTTGTAGCAAATGCATTTATTAGTGGTGAGGTTCCTTATGTGATATTACTGGGTTTCTTCACATTTTGTAAGGTTCCAGAGAATGAAACACTGTTGCTCTAAGGAACAACCCTTCTGCCTCCCGAATGGACTCTTGAGAAAATTTCAACAGAGAAACACAGGAAAACATGTGAACAAAGAAATAAACTATGTTTCACGGACGTTCTTTATCACCCTGACGACACTCCCACCTCAACTGTGCTAGCAACAAAAGCATTGAAACCACTGAAGCAGTGACTGTATTGCCAACTCTCACAATTTTGTTATGAGAGTCACAATATTTGGTGTTTTTCTTAAGGTCCCAGATGCTAGGCTCACCTTCTTATCTGTGAATGTCAACTTTCATTTAAAAACAGTATAAGGTTCTTGATCTCATGGTTGTGGACAAAAGCTTGTAAGTGTGACCTCTACAAGCTCTAACAAAAACACAAACACCTAATCAGTGTTCTGATTTTTAAGCCATTGTCATGATTTTGGGGGATCTGATTCATGTTTTGTAAATATTGGGGGTGAAATGAGGGCCCTAACTTCCATAATGGAATGGAATAATGGCCAAAACGTCCATTGACTTCAACAGAACCGGAATTTTACCCTTGGGGTGAAACACTGTGTGAGAAACAGTAGGGCACAGAGGCGCTAACTTTCTAACGTGCCGGGGGTTGCTCGAGCTGGCTCTGCCCCAGGCCCAGCCCCTACTCCACCCCTTCCCCCAAGGCCCCACCCCACCTCTTCCCACCTCTGCCCCTTCCCTCCCCTGAGCTCACCCCACCCTCGCTCCTTCCCCACTCCTCCCAGGGCCTCCTGCAAGCCATGGAACAGTGGATCGTAGCAGGCGGGAGGTGCAGGGAGGGAAGGAAGGAAGGAGGGGTAGGCGCTGATTGGTGGGACCACTGACAGGAGGGGAGAAGGGGAGGAGCTGACTTGGGGGCTGACAGTGCTGCATCCACCATTTTTTCCCCCATGGGTGCTCCAGCCCCGGAGCACCCTGAGAGTCAGTGCCTATGGTTTGACAGTCATGTGTTTGCAGGACTGGTTCCTATTGCTGCTTGAATACTTTCTCTAGCCCAGAGGCTTTTCTGAGATCTCGGTTATAAAACAGTACCATAGATGACTTGGTGGTATTGCAGACTTCTCAGAGGAGGGGGAAAATGTGTCCAGATTGGGTAGGCAAACCTTGTTCAAAGTTTGTGCTTGCTTGGTTTCAACCACACAGTGGACACAGCCCTAGTAGTCTTTCAGTAGCTTCTCGCACAAGTCAACTGGTGACTCCTACAATTATTACTCCTGAGGGCATTCTGCACCAAAAAATTAAAAATTCTGCAAATGTTATTTGTCAAATAAATGTGGAGGCTCCAGCACATCACTGGGAAAGCCCATGACACTGGCTGCTCAGAGGTGGGAGATCACTGTGCAGCTCCCCCGGGACACAGATTCAGCTGTGAAGCTGCACCCAACCCTGACACAGCGCAAGGACCGGGCCTATCCCAAGGCCCTGCCGCTCAGTTTGGACACGCAGGCTCAGCAAGACAGGATCCAAGTGTAGAGGGGCTCAGTGTGGGTAACCCAGGTGTGGGATGAGAGGGTTCTGTGTGGGGAAATCTGGGTGTGATTGGCTCAGTGGGGGATCTGTGTGTGTGTGTGGATCTGGATGCTCAGGGGCTTGTTGGGGGGGGGGGTTCTGGGTGCAACGGTAAAGGGACTCTGCAGGGGGATCCAGGTGAAGGTGGTTGGGG